CGAATTTTGTGCACCGTGATTTCACCTTCTTCTATAATATCTCGTATAAAGTGATATTGAACATCAATGTGCTTCGTCCTTGCATGATAAACTTGGTTCTTTATTAATTGGATAGTACTCTAACTATCACAAAATAGTGTGATGCTTTCTTGACCAACACCAAGCTCTCTAAGCAACCCTTGAAGCCAAACTTCCTCCTTTACAGCCTCTGTAATTGCCATGTACTCTGCCTCAGTAGTAGACAAAGCAACTGTTGACTGCAAAGTAGACTTTCAACTAACTGGTGCATTTGCAAAAGTGAAAACATAACCAATAGTTGATCTACGCTTGCCCAAATCACCCGCATAATCTGAGTCACAATATCCAACCAGATATTGACTATCTTCCTGCTCAAAAATCAATCCAACATCTACAGTATTACGAATATACCGTAGAATCTATTTCACGGCTTGCCAATGATCCTTTCCTGGATTATGCATATACCTGCTTACAACTCCGATAGCATGTGAAATATCTCGTCTTGTGCAAACCATTACATACATCAAGCTATCAACGACATTCACATATGGTATACTCTTGACATATACTCTCACTCAGCTTCATTCTTAGGCGACATAGCTTTACTAAGCTTAAAGTGAGGAGTAAGAGGAGTGTTAACCGACTTCGTGTTGTTATTCATGCCAAATTGATCGATTAATCTCTTCAAGTATTCTTTCTGAGATAGATAGAGTTTCTTTGAATGTCTATCTCTTTTTATCTCCATGCCAAAAATTTTCTTCGTCTTACCCAAATCCTTCATCTCAAACTCCTTTCTTAGTTGAATCTTCAACTTCTCAATTTCCTCTTGACTTTTGGAATCTATCAACATATCATAAACGTATAGGAGAAGATATATGAAGGATCTTCTTCAAGCTTGAGCAAATATACAAAGTGGTCGTATTTGCTTCTTCTGTACTTCTGCCACAACATAAACTTGTCAAATCGTTTGTGAAGATTGTTTCAATCCGTACAATGAATTTTCAAGTTTGCACACCATATTTTCCTTTCCAACAACCTTGAATCCTTCTGGCTGAGTCATATGGATTTCCTTTTCCAAGTCTCCATGTAAAAATACAGTTTTTACATCTAAGTGATCTAGTTCTAAATTCAACTGTGCTACCAAAGCCAACAAAACTCTAATGGATGAGTGTTTCGTGACTGAAGAAAACACCTCATTATAATCAATTTTCTCCTTTTGAGCATTCCCTTTGGCCACCAATCTTGCTTTGTAGCGAACATCTTCTTGGTTAGAAAATCCTTCTTTCTTTGTAAATACCCATTTTCACCCAATTGATTTCTTGCCCTTTGGGAGATTGGCCAATTTCCATGTGTGATTCTGATGAAGGGACTGCATTTCTTCATTCATGAAAATTATCCATTTATATTCTTCTGAACTTTGGACTGCGTCTTTATAAGTGATAGGAATACCATCAGCTATAATTGAGGTTGCACAAGCCACCGTCTCTATGAGACGAACATGTTTCTTTATTGTTCTTTTTGGCTTGCTGGTTGCTATTGATTCAAGTTGTTGTTGAGGTTCCTGAATTGGATTGTCCCTCTCTGCTAACTCTTCTTCCAAGGAAAAATCTTCTAATGTTTTCTCGTTTTCTCCCTGTGTTGGAAAAATTAAATCTTCTAATGTTTTCTCGTTTTCTCCCTGTGTTGGAAAAATTAATTTTTCCTAAAATTTCACATGCTTTGAAGCACCATCAGTTTGTTTGACATCTTCAATTATTACCTTATCTGTTATGGAAAATTCATCAAAGGTAACATCTCTGCTGAATATAATTTTTCTTATCCCTGGATACCATAAGCGGTATCTTTTTACTCTAGAAGTAATCCCCATAAATATTGATATCTTTTCTCTCGGATCCAATTTGACTCTTTCACATGATAGTATACAGTTAAGTCAAATACATGCAAAAATCTATAATCTTCAGCAGGTTTTCCATACTATTTTTCAAATGGTGTCTTGCCACCAATAGCGGCAAATGGTAGACAATTAATGAGGTGGCATGCATATGTTATTGCCTCAGGTCAAAATTCTTTGCCCAAGCCAACATTGGACAGCATACACCGAACTCTCTCCAGCAAAGTTCGGTTCATACGTTCTTCCACTCCATTCTGTTGTGGTGTATTTTTGACGGTGAAGTGTCTCAAAATGCCATCATCTTTACAATTATTATTGTAAAGATCATTTTTGTATTATCCACTGTTGTCTGTGCGAAGACACTTTATCTTTCTGCCTGTTTGAGTCTCTATCATCGCCTTCCATTTGAGAAATATTCCCAACACCTCATCTTTGATTTTTATCGTATACACCCACACTCTCCGGAAAAAGTCATCAATAAAGGTTATAAAGTAATGTTTCCTACCTAATGAAGGTGTTATGGAAGCACCCCAAATATCAGAGTGAACATAATTCAAAATACCTTTAGTATTATGGATTGTTATTCCAAATTTAACCCTTGTCTGTTTTCCCTTGACACAATACTCACAAAACTCCAAATTGCAAATCTTTACTCCTTTTAACAATTCTTGATCTGATAAAATTTTCAAGGATTTTCCTCGAGCATGTCCCAAGCGCATGTGCCATAGCTTGGTTGCTTCTGCCTTCTTGTCATCACTGGATGCCACTGTTGTTGTCCCAATAACTATACTACCGTAATAGTGGTACATGTTATTATTTCGCCTAATTCCCTTCATTACCACTAGTGCACCGAAGCAAATTCTCATTACCCCATTTTCTGCAACGACTTTGAGCCCCTTTGACTCTAGGGCTCCTACATAAATGAGCTTTTTATTCAATTCAAGTACGTATCGAACATGTGTTAATGTTCTGATCAATCCATTATGGTTCCTTAATCGGATTGAACCAATACCATATGCGGTAAGAGGATTGTTATTTGAGGTGTGAATAACTCCACATTCTCCTTCTTGAAAATCAAAGAACCAGTTCCTGTTGGGACATATATGATAGCTACAAGCTGAATCCATCAGTCGCCATATGTCAGATGGTTTGAATGGCTCAGTTGTAACTAGTGAGAAATCAGAGTCGTCACAATCAGCTACATTTGAATCCATGACAACCTTCACATTGTTAGGTTTGGCCTTATTTTTCAACTTTGGACAGTCTTTCATCCAGTGCCCCCTTCTCGGCAAAAGGCGCATTCATCATTGCTGGGTCTGGATCTTGACTTGGATTTTCCTTTCTTCGTTCTCATATGATTTTGAGAACGACCTCTCACGACCAGTGCTTCTCCTTCTCGACTCTTTTGTTTTTCTCTCTTTCTTTATTCATAGCTGTACAAGGCAGAAATGTCTTCATCCGTCAAAAATTTCAACTACAAATTTTGCATTTGACATAATTCATGTCATAAACGAAGATGCAGACGATGTATTACTGACACCCGATGTGGACTCTTCATTTTTATTATCTCCCATTTTTGCTACAGATACTATTTATTTGCTGATACAGAACACCAAAGTAATTCTTTTCTGATGTGGAAGTTCAGACTATGCTGCAACCACTGAGCATACTCAGATTGAACTTTGGCTCTGATACCAATTGTTACGGAAGCCGAATATATAAAGAGTGATTAAATCACAACAACTATATCTAAAGGTAGCTAATAAATAGTAAACGAGATAATAATAAAAAGAACATCAGAAATTAGCGAGGTTCGGCAAAAAAAAAATTTGTCTACTTTTCGGATAAAATCAACTCAAACCTTATCTCACTCCAATCTTACAAGAGAGAAAGAAGATTCAAGTGCCTTAGGAGATAACAAGGCAAGTGAGAGTTGTTTACAAATGAACAAAATCGTTGCTATTTATAGAAAGGAAATTGCCTTAATAATGGTATGCATAACATCATATTAAGTGTGATCATGCAATGTAAATGCATGCAAAATGCATCTACCAATTTTTTCCTAAAAGAAGGCTAGTTCTCATTAATGTTGTCAAACTCAACCATCATCCAGTCTAGAAAAGCTTCTATTCCATGTATTGTTGAAGATAAACCTTCAAAGATTATGACACTCTATTTTTATAATACCAACTGCTTAATGTAAAGCTCATATGATGAAACCTCTCTGGTTTCGAAAAAAAGGGGGGATTGCATTCCTTGCATGTAGGATTTCTGCTTCTTTTCCGAATTAGTACTATGTAGGATTTCTACGGTTATATCAACTGTTTTTATCAAAGTAAGAGTTCGAATCAGACTCTCTGCATAATTTTCTTACTTATCTAACACATATACGCCCAAAGAAAATAAAATTGCTTCATATTAAATGGGTTGCTGTTTTCTTCTCTTTTTCCTGTTAAGCTTGCTCTTTTAATTAATTTATTTACATTGCATGTGCTAGTTGAACTTTTTTTCCATGTAATATCTTTAATTTGTGTGTTGCATGCATGCTCAATGTATAAATGGCTTTAAATGATCATTTTTCTTAGGCAATTAGGCAGCTCCAAACATGACAAGAAGTTGAGTACTTTATAACTCCTTTCTATTTTCTACTTTCTTGATAAATAAATTCGTGGTGTCTTTCGTATAAGAACTTGATAATCTAACTTAGTCGGGCCAACAGGTTCAGGAAACCAGATGATTAAAGGAAAAAAAAACTTTATATGACTTACAAGTTTGCTATTTCGAAGTTCGAACAGTGATAAGCCAAAATAATTTAGTGCTCATTGGTCATTACACATGAACTGATGACACAGGTACTGAGCAACAAATGAAAACATCAAAGACCAAAAAAGAAAAAAGTACGTACAAGGAGTGCGTAGAATGCGGGTTATGTTAGAGGAATGGCTGCAACCATGTAGTAGTACAATCTTTTTCCGATTCAATGACTCTGAAACGACATAACGAACCTAGGCCTTTGTATAAAAAGTTGCCCTCTTGTTGTCCTTATATGTTATATATTCTCTTTAGTACTCATAATGAACGTCACAATATGATGGGTTTGTGCAGTTACAAAACCCAAGTGGTCATAATATCAGGAAAATGTCCAAAATTGTCATCATATGCGATACGTTTTGAAATTTAAAAAGAAAATTAAAAAAAAATGAAAATTTTGAACAAATCATAGATAATTGCGTGATATCTTATATGGATAAAATAAATTATTTGTAAATATATATATAGAAAGATCTTTTTTTTACGGACAAAAAAAAATGCTTCACATAATATGGGACAAATGGAGTATTTAAAATTGAGCAATTAAGTAGGCGTTTGGACATAAGAAATGTAAGATTCGAAAAAATGGTAAAAAAAATTTTAAGTGAAAATGATATTTGAAATTTAGAGTTGTGTTTGGACATAAATTTCAGTTTGAGTTCTTTTTGAAGTTTTGTGAATGATTTGAGTGAAAATTTTGAAAAACAACTTTTTGCAGTTTTTAAAATTTTCGAAAATTTCCAAAATGCATCTTCAAGTGAAAATTGAAAATTTTATGAACAAACGCTGATTTCAAAAAAATGAAATTCTTTTGGAAAAATCTTCAACAAAATTTTATGTCCAAACTGGCCCTAAGTCTCGTAATAAGTGGACGACTGTGTGTGTGCAAATTCTTTCGAGAAAAAAGTTCAGATTTACCCCCTTTAACTTTATCTATGGTGTACGAACCGAACCGAAAAATCGTACAAAATCGAAAAGTTAAACAAAACCGATTAAAAAACCCGACTTGGTTTGATTTGATTTGGTTTGGTATTGAGTAAAAAAACCCTGAATCAACCCGACATATAAATATATAATTTTTATATATACTTTAAGATTTTATATAGAATTTTCTTTAAAAAATGTCTAGAAATATTTGGGATTCTCTTGCGGGATATAAATTTTAATAGAATATGAAGTGCTCCATATTTATTGACCTTAAATAATAGGTTGTATGATCATTTTCTTATTAAGTGTTACAGAAAATGCGTTTATTTCTGTGTTCTTCCATATTCATAACATATATTAAGATCTATTAAAGTCTTATATATTTTTCGAATGTGAAGTGATTATTAATATTTAGGTATCATATTGATTTTTATGTTTAATTACTAGATTCAGTTAACCTGAAAGTGTATATCAACGAAAAAATTAGTAACCTGAAAGTGTACATAGTATGTTTGTCAATTTTTTATATTTTTACTAAATATATATTTACCTATCAAATATTTAACAAAGTAAGATTGAAATAATATTTAAATAACAAAAAATCCGAAAAATCCGACAAAACCGAACCAATCCAAACCGATATAGTTGGTTTGGTTTGATTTTGATAAAAATCTAGCCAAACCCGGTCCATGTACACCCCTAGTTTAAACTTTAAATTATCCTTTTAGATTGGAATTCTCTTAGGATAAGGGCAAAAAACTATGCAAGGGTAAGATTAGACCAAAATTACGCAATTTCTAATAGTAGAGAGGCAAATTTGACTATTTTCCTAATATCAACTATTATCTGTTTTTACATTCCCAGTTGTTACATTGTTTTCGAAGCCATAAGAAAATCTAATTAACTACATTAATTATGATGGGTACTTTAATTTGTTTCAAAAGATGAAGGAGCGGCGGGGTTGGAGGAGGAGGCGGCGGCGGCTGATACAAGCGGTGGTGGTGGAAATACGAATGATATGTGCAGATCTGACAATGAAATTAAGGATAAGTTAAGGCGTAAGTACAGTGGATATATAAGTAGTCTAAAGCAAGAATTTTCCAAGAATAAGAAGGGAAAACTCCCAAGAGAAGCAAGGCAAATCTTGCTTAACTGGTGGACCACTCACTACAAATGGCCTTATCCTACGGTAACCACTTTTCTTTTTCGTGAATAGAGGTTATAGTAATTAAAAAATAGGATAAATTATACTGAACATCTTATAATACTTATGAAAATTAAATACTTACACCCATATATATTATTAAAATCCCACTCAAATATAAAGGTATTATTCCTATTTGTTAAAAGCAAACATTTAAACTCCATTATACATCCCTTATATAATTGTATATTAATCATAGAAAAATTGTTGAAGCAAGGACCTATATATATATTCTTCTCATTAATCGAGTCCATAACTTTGAAATTTTCAGTAGAAATATCTCGATAGATAGAAAAAAAAAATTACTTCACAATGAAAACTCACCATCAGTAAAACACATTTGATGTTCATTTGAGATGCTGTACAAATATTTATATGAGTTACAATATTGATAGACGTAAAAAGATATTGTTCTGTCAACAAAAAGATGTGAATAATACTGTTATTAAACTTGGTGAATGCAGGAAGGACAGAAAATATGTCTAGCTGAATCAACAGGTTTAGATCCGAAGCAGATTAACAATTGGTTCATTAATCAGCGAAAACGTCACTGGAAACCTTCAGAAAACATGCAGTATGCTGTTATGGAAAGTATATATGGTCACTTTTCTGAATAATTTAGCTTCGGGGAAATTAATCTCTTTCCCGCAATGTTTCTAATCAGACATTTTTACTTGCTAACAATATAATTCTAATTCAGTTACCATATAATTCTTCCTCTCATAAAGACTTCTAATGTCAGTAGTGTTTCTTGAATGGGCAGCAAACGATTTTTGAATGGTTCACGTCGAAGAGTTTGAAGTTTCTTTCTTTTGATGTCACTCATGATATTTGCAGGAGTATTAAATATCTATTAATAAAGAGCTCTTGAGCCATTTGTATCACACCAACAAAGAGAGAAAAAAAGAGTGAGGTTTCACAGACAGGGTATAAGAAAATAACTTGTGAGAAAATAAAGAGCGGACGATATTAGAGTGAGATGGAAATATCAAAAGAGGGTTATTTCTTTTGAGTGTTGTAGTGGTCTTTGGAGTATTTTACTCGAACATACAAAGTGTAAAATTTCATACTATAATGATATCAATTGCTCGCCTAGGAGCCGTGGTTTTTCCCTTATTTAAAGGGTTTTCCAAGTAAAAATCTTTGTGTCGTTGTCACTCTTTTATTCTTGTTAATTACCGTATCTCGATGCTACGTTATTATTCCACTTTTATTATTGTGAATATTATTTTTGTCGGGGTTTATTCCCAACAACTGGTATCAGAGCATAGGTTATGCTCGCTCACAAAAGTACTATTCACTATCGGTAGTACTATACTCGGTGGAAAAAAATATTTGGAGTAAAATACGAGGTAGCAAAATTCAACAGAGATAACGGTTTCTCAATATTGCAAAGAAGGATGAGAGATGTTCTCGTCCAACAAGGATTACACAAGGTACTAGATGTTGATGTCAAAAAGCCTTATACCATGAAAGTTGAGGATTGGGCTGACTTGGATGAAAGGGTTGCTAGTACAATCAGGTTGCATTTATCAGATGATGTGGTAAATAATATCATTGATGAAGACATTGCATGTGGCATTTGGACAAGGTTGGAAAGCCTATACATGTCCAAACGCTAACAAATAAATTGTACCTGAAAAAAGTAGTTATACGCCCTACACATGGGCGAAGGTACGAATATTTTGTCATATTTAAATGTGTTTAACGAACCAATCACGCAGCTCGCCAATCTCGGAGTGAAAATCAAGGAAGAAGATAAAGCTATATTGCTATTGAGCTCGTTGCCATCTTCGTACGATAATTTGGCAATAACCATCCTACACGGTAAAACTACCATTGAGTTGAAAGATGTCACATAGGCTCTTCTACTCAATGAGAAGATGAGAAAGACGCCTGAAAATCAAGGACAGACTCTCATCACAGAAGGTAGAGGCAGGAGTTATCAAAGGAGTTCGAGCAACTATGGTAGATCCGGAGCTCGTAGGAAGTCAAAGAACCGATCCAAATCAAGAGTCAGAAATTGCTACAATAAATGTGATCAACCAGATCACTTCAAAAGAGATTGCACAAATCCAAGGAAGGGAAATGGTGAAAGCAGTGGCCAGAAGAATAGCAATAACACAACCGCCATGGCGCAAAACAATGATAATGTTGTCCTCTTTATAAATGAGGAAGAGGAATGCATGCACTTGTCAGGTCCTGTCACGACCCCAAATTCCCTCCATAGGATGTCGTGATGGCATCTAGTCTCTAAGACTAGGTAAGCCTATCAATGCGGAATAATAATAAATATCTGAAATAAATAAACTACAATTCAAACAATTTCAACTCCCAAAACCCAGTAGAAATAAGTCACAAGCTTCTAAGAATTTATTCTCAATTTCTCTATATGTCAAGGTCTAAATAAAATATAAGGAAGCAACATAAAATGATAGAAGGGGACTCCGGAGTCTGCGGACGCTGGCAGATATACCTCGAAGTCTCCGTGCGCAGGTAACTCACTGACGTCTAGGCTGGTAAAATATACCTGGATCTGCACAAAAAGATGTGCAAAAGCGTAATATGAGTACACCACAGCGGTACCCAATAAGTGCCAAGCCTAACCTTGGTAGAGTAGTGACGAGGTCAGGTAAGGCCCTACTGGAATATAATAATAGCATGGTAAAATATTTATCAATGTAGTAAAATAAAATAACATTAAAAATGAATCAAATAGTATGTCACATTTAATAACACCAAATAATTGCAAATAATATCTCGTGGAATCAAAATAGAATTTCCTTCAACTTTATGAAAATCACAACAATTAATCGACAGCAACTATGGCCATAAATCAATATCAATAAGGGCACTACCGAGGTATCGCCTTGTAGTCTCAAGTTATAAGTAATTTCACAATATCTCATTTCCTTATATCACCGTGGGAGCCTTCACAATTTATTAAAAAAAATATTTTTTCCCGAAATAGCATCCCGCGTTTTAGCCACCCTTATCACACCGCATGACTTCTAGTAGTCACCCCTACTAGCCACGCGTATCAAGCCACCCTTATCTTACCGCATGCGTTTCAACACCCAGACCTTATACCACCGCATGCGTATCAATATCACAATATATCACAATTTGCACCTCAAGTGCTCAAATAATTTAACTTTCCAAAATAATTCAACAACAATATTTTTTCATAATAAAGAGCTCACGGCTTATGCCAAAAAAAATCATCAATAATAGTTTGCCACAATAAAGAGCTCACGGCTCATGTCAGAATAATTCATCAATAATATTTTTTCACAATAAAGAGCTCACGGCTCATGTCAAAATAATTCAA